AATGGATAACCTGATGTTGTTGATACGTTTTCCCTTATTGGGATTGGCATTAGACCGCCGTGTGTAAGAATCCAGTTATTATTATATTATTACATACCATTAATCTCAACTTTTCCAAGAACGATAACATGTTATTTAAACACTATTGTTACAGTAAAAAAAAAAGTTACACACGTGTCAAATAGAAAAATTAAATAAGCCAATCTCTTCCAGGTATCTTAAGATGAATCAAAATATATTCGGAGATATGTTTACAGTTAAAACAAATTGAAAAAAGAATGTCCGTTTGATGATAGATTAAGAATACGAAGTGTCACCACAGAGCCCACTAAGAAAGGAAACCCTGCTAGATAACAGCACTGGAAGGAGAAGGAAAATCTGAAACAAAACCCTCTATCAACCCAACAACAGTCAAATCGTGGTATGGTAGGCCAGAACCTCCTTTATAAGGATAGGCCTATTTCCAGCAGCGGACTATTAAAGGCTGTTGATGAAAACATTTATTTTAATTTAATTTATTTTAACAAAGACCAATAATAGGATTAGGATTTAATTGTTAAAAGTTTCTTATAAAATATTCGGGTTGAAACTTCCTTAGAGGACCATAGAAATTGTTGTGCAGAATACCGTTGTATCCATACGGGTATCTAATTCGGCTGCGAATGTCTACGGAAACATAATAACTTTAATTTTCAGCGTGTATATACAGGTGTGACGTAAATAATACAAAACCCTGCACCCGCCGATAAGCTTGCTAGTGGGTTTTTCGAATATTCAATAGTAAATATTTTTAACTTTTAATAAGAAATTAATATTAGTATTTTAATATATTTTTTGTAATTTAAGAAAATTTTCTGCTTTAAAAACACGTTTTTATATTAATATTATGATATTTTCATTTAAGTGTTTGACTGTATTTTTTTCATATTATTCATTTATTGACATGTGCTTGCCAAATTTTTTGAGGATTACTTGCTTGCTTTTAAATTACTTTTATTTAGTTGTAAGATCTGACCCGAACAAAAATATACAAACTAAGAAAGGAAGATAGATTGTTCAAATAGCCATAGACAGACATAGCTTATAGTTTATATTTTAAACTGGACTGCTATTTACTTCCATACATTTTGAGAGGTATTTCTTATAGACGGTAAAGAAAAAGATGGAATACGCCGTCCTTGAACATATATACATATACACGTATTTAAGTCAATGTGATGAAACAAAACAAAGGATTTATGTAGGATAAATGGTTTTACTTTCACGTGTATTTCGGGGATACTAGTGTTAGCACATTACGCATATTGTTTTGTTAAAACTATGTATTTCACCTCAATAATAGCACCCCAGATCATATCCTTATTTATTATTATGATGATATTAAAATTTATCTAACAGTTTTACTAGTCAGCCAAATCTCTTTTTCAATCTCTATGTTTCTCTTTGCTCACACACGATTTTTTTTGGACTCTATACTAACACAATTTACTAACGGAAAGAGTAATAAAATAGTATCTGAACACGCAACAGTGGTTTCACTACACTAGACTATACTTCCTTGTTGGTATTAGTCGTTGGTGCAGTGCTGGTTCCCATTCAGTCCTGTCTGATTCCCAGTCGTCATGCCCCGGAATTTCCCCGAAACACACACTTGAGTAAAACCATCGATTCCATATATATAGGTTTCCACTTACGAAAATTTTTTATACCAATGAAACAAAACGTGTATTTAATGAGTTACAATTGAAATTAAATCACTGGAAGAACTCTAGTAATGTTAAAAGCGTAAAATTGACACCGTGGGAGAGCCATGTACAAATGGACCGGCTCGATCCGGTGTGGTACGAGTACCACGGCCTCATGGAAAACTGGTCGTGTTAAGCAATTCTTTCTTTCATCATGATCATCAACAGCCCCTAACAGTCAACTGCTATACCAATCTGGACAGACGGGTTGGTTTAGGGTTTGTTTCAAGTTTTCCTTTTTTTGCAGTGCTGTTTTGCAGAGCTTGCTCCTTAGTCGGTTTTTACGACACCCACGGGATGAATAGTGGTGGTGACACTCTGTATTCTTAATCCGTCACCACACGGATATAATATAAAATATTTTTTCTTTACTTTTCACTAATTGAGTGGCTTAAAATGGCTTCATTATACTTATATATTTTAAAGTCTCCCTATGTGTCGATTGTTTAGACTTATAACTACAATAAAAAAAAAAGAAATTTAATTTGAATTTTGAAATTGTTGTTGTTATCCATGGGCGGCGGGAGTCTCTTACCATACTAGATGATCCGTCTTCCCTTTATACCTGAAGCGTCGTACCCCGTACAAAAAAAAGTGCTTGCCGGTTTCATTTTGCCAGTTTATAAACACGATTTGCCAACAAATGTTGCTGAAATAAAAAAAAATACTGTGACTATAATATTCGTTACCAGGTATTTATCCTTACAATGGTGATTCTGTTTATTTATATTTCTACGTCACTTTATTGGTAATAATAAAGAAAATTTATGATACGCCTTGTGATTGATCTTAAATGACAAATCTTTCTTTTACAACTACTGAAGATTCTTTTAACTGGGTATTAAATATTAATTGCAGTGACTAAGCGGTCAGCAAGAAGCAAGGTCTTCATATATCCATTTCAAGGGGGTTTGGAATTCCTACAAGCGCAAATCGAGTGAACTGTGGAACAGATAGTGCTTGTCATCTACAGATATGTAATCTGTTCTGTTCAAGAGAATAAACGCACTGATATGGTTAATCTCGGAAAAAATATATATATTATTCCGAGATTAACCATACCACCAGTGCGGTAATTCTCTTGTATGTACCTTGTGCCAATATGGGGTTCTTATTCTAATAAACTGGTTGAATTTTTAAATAGTCTTGGTCTCAACCAAGACTATTCAAAAATTCAACCAGTTAGCCGATTAGTCAGTTAGTTACTTTAATTTTTCATGAGCCATGCTTCGTCACAAATGGGTCAGGCTCGACCGGAGTGATACCACGGTTTCATAGAAGAAAACTAGTCCTAAGTAATTCTTTCGTCGTGCTAAGCTTTTCACCGATTGTGCGAGGTTACCTGAGTAGAACCCCCCTCCTACTTGTAACGCAATTGTGACTCTTGAGTTGAAGATGGCGGTGAGCGGCGGTAGTGACTTACCATCAGGTAATCTATCTACTCGTATACCCAATATGATAAACAGAAAAAAACGAATGTGAATGCCTCATTTATACTTGACGGATATCGAACCAGTTATATTGCCGTGTAATGAGTGCATTTCATATCATTTAAATAATAACACTATCAGTATATTAATTTACATAACTAAAGAAAAATATTGTGATAAAATATTTTAATAGGTGTAAATTTAATGGGTCTGTAACGGTCATTTTCGTTTAACAATAATCCAGGAAGCCATTTCAGCAGTAGTTATTAGTTTTCCGCAGACAATTAAATAAAAAAAAAAAAAAAACTTTATTTTAATTTCAATCGATTCTTATAAAACTGCGATGTCTTGTGGAGTAGGAACGTACCTAATAATTTTATATTTTATTTATTTCGACAGCCAGTAAGTTGCTGCATTATTTACTGAAATCTAGAGCGTACATCCACTATATTGAGATTAATGCACAAAGTTTTGAAGGTATCGTAACAGCTAACATAACAGAACCATCATAACAGATTAACACTACCATCAACAGCCTTTAAGAGTACACTGCTGGACATAGGTATACATAGTATACATAAGGAGAGTCCTTAGAAATGAGGTTTTGACCTACTATACCACGCTGGCCAGACGGGTTGGTATGCTTCAAGTTATCCTTCTCTTTGCAGTGCTGTTGTCGTTGCGTGGGATGAATATGGGAGTAACACTAAATGAGACTAAAAAATGGATAAACGTCTATGCGAGTAACAGTAAATTGAACAAAAATAATATTTTGACATAGGTCGTTCTCATGGTTTGAAATCACCACAAGGCTCCTTTCAGCAAATGCATTTAAGGATTATTAAACAATGGAATATTTACTTGTTCATTTGTAATTCAACGTTTTCTTGTTACCCCGACGCAAAAAGGATGTTACAAGCTCGGCGTGTATGTATCGAATACTTCAGAGAGATGCGTATTGTACCAAAAAAGTCAAGCTGCCTTCTGTTAAATGTTTCACCTGGCAACTAATAGCTTTACATTTAAAACGCAAGTAAGACTTTATAAAATGCCATAGCATTTTCGGCCCTGATGGTGATAACCATCAGGGTACGCATGTGCTGTTATAAGGATAGGATAAGATAAGTGGCAATAATGTTGGTCACCCAAATAATACAGATAATTTTGTAAGTGACATAAATATCAATTTATCATGTGGTGATTATATAGATAGATATAGACATATAGACAAACATGCCCGTCAAAATCAATCAGTGCACTATTAAAGGCTGTTGATGATGATAATGATGATTTATCAAAGTCATTGTTATGAAATATTGATTGCAACCAGTTTATTAGAATAAGAACCCCATATTGGCACAAGGTACATATTATATTGTGTTGCTAGTGTAAAAAAATAGTACCATTTTGGTAGAAATACAGAAGTGGTCCAATTTAGGCGCCGGTTCAATATTGGTTGGTTGGTATGGTTAATCTCCGAAAAATATATAGGGGAGAGCCCCTATACCTTTTTCCAAGATTAACCATACCAGTGCGCTTATTCTCTTCAACAGAACAGATTACATATATTATGAAGATGACAAGCACTATCTGTTTCACAGTTCCAAACCCCCTTGAAATGGATATTTGAAGATTTATATTATAATGAAGGAATAAACAATACCATTGAAGTTTAACTTTATAAATAAATATTTTAATTTGATTTCAGTATTATTCAACTCCAATACAGTTTTGTATAATACTTTTTATTAAATACATAATATCGATTGAAAACATTAAACCATACATTTTAAAATATATTTTTTTAAATGCTCTTCTTTAATACTTAGTATAAATATCCTGTTTTCTCGTCGAAAGGTTGTTGAGGAATATTTTGAGAAGAATGAGGTGCGAGGTACTGACGATTGACAGCAGACGGTTGAGACTGGAACCTGGTCTGAGCACCGAAGACCTTGTTACCCTGTGCGGCACCTCGATATCCAAATGGATTAACAGCAGGTTGGTTACCATACTGTTGGCCAGCTACATTTTGAGCGCCAAATTCTGTGGAGATGAAACACAATATTTTGGTTAGGTTACACCAAAAAATTGTACTCGACATAAAAAGCGTAAAAGAAATCTTTAAAATGAAAAGCGTTGTAACATTTCGGGAGAATAGTAACCGAATCAAATGCGGACGTTTATTATTTTGTTGATAAAAATTTGGTGTTACTGGGAAATTGGAAATTAAAAGAAAATGGATATCGGAAAAATGTGATTCAAACATTTTTAAAAAACAGTTTTACGCCCTATTTTTTCATTCAAAATGATGAAATGTACTAGGAGAAGAACTAACTATTTTGCTTGTTATTAAAGAAGAGCGTATTTAACATTAATTTAAATTTCGAAAGGGTTGTGATAATTCTACTCACCATTTCCAGAGGAAGCAGCAGAAGATTCAAAGTTAGGAGGCAAGTACGCATTCTTCACACCAGGGAAGGCACTAACTGCATTAAAGTTTGATTGTCCTGCTCCAGAGGCACCAAAGGATCCTGAATTGGCACCAAGAGATCCATGTGCTCCATTGGATCCAAATCTTTGGTATGAACCGAACCCAGAGTTTTGGTCAGGAGGAAGATATTTACGTAGCTGCTGCTGTTGTTCTAGGTGTTCCAAGCGAGCTGCAGAGCTGACGGCAACAAGAGCGGCAACCACGAACTGGTAATAATAATATAAAATCATAAGTGATTTATTTCACAATAAAAGAAAATTTGTTTGATATCAACTATCTAAAATTCGAAGTTTAAATATGACTGACTACTGAGAAAGTGAAAACACCAGAAAAATTTGATGTAAAGAAACATCATTAATAATAAAAATAATAATGTAAATGTTTTTATATAAGTCTGACTTAAAAATTGTTAATCTAACTAAACTAGGTATTTGACTATCTAATATCTAAAAAAACTAACTATATGAATTGAATATACCGAAAATTAGACAAGAAGGGATTGCAATGAAAAGAGGCATATTATCATGTTGGTGCATTGATAGGGAAGTCAGGATCGCTAAGTGTAAATGGAGCTTTCGCAAAGTAACGGTTTTATTGTGAAAAATAAGTAATATCACGGGATACAGACTAAAATGAAATAGTTGAATCATTAAAGTCATTTTGTGGAAAAAGAGAACCTTTGTGATAAAATAGGTTCATGGATAGTTAAGTATCCAAATAATTTATTGATTGCAATGATTTGTCTGAAAATTTCCCATGAATTGTATGCAAAATCCTCAGAGAACTTGACATTAGTAGTAAAAGGGCATTAATATCCAATTTAAGTTCTATAAGATATATTTCCAAAATAAAAAGTTATCAGAAAAGGAAACATTTTGTTTTAGACTAAACCCAATGAAGACCAAATGAGTACACTAACATTATAAAATGTATTTGAGGTAGAGATTTTAGTCTAGCATAAAACCAAATATCAAAGTTTTATGTTAATCCCATGTAATATTATTTATCTAAAATCTTTTGTATTTTTGATTTAAATATTGATAAGTTAAACAAGAAATTTCTGATTACTCTCCAAGCTTTTAAGAGCCTCCTTGATTACTTATAATGGTACAAAATTGGCGAAAAGTATTTAAAGCATTAGAAATTACTTACCAGTTTCATTTTAGGATAATCTCTGATGGATCTGTTCAAACCAAATATGGTAGAAGTTTAAATGTTACTGTGATGTTTTGCATCATCTGACCTATTATATATACCACTTATCGTGATCCTGAATACACATATTCTGACGTCATTTTATAGCTAACGTCGTAAAGAAAACATGTGAGACGCCATGTTAATTAGTTCGAGGATTTTTTGATTACCGAACGTGAGTGACCTCGGATGTCAGATGCTTCTGTACATTTAGAAGGATCCGATTAATTTGATACGGGATAGAATACCAGTTGTGGCGATTAATAAATCTTAAGTACCAATTGATTGGTACAGGAAGTTTGTTTAAAAGAAGATGTTTTGACGATATTATGGAATCGTTACTACGATTTATATATTTATCGAGGTACAGGTAAATATGGTTTTATATGAATCAATTAATATTGCTGGTGTATTATAACGGGTCGGCATTAAAAAAATGAATAATTTATTCATTCATTCATAAAAATGTAACTTTCTCAGTAAAATAATAATAGTTATTATGTAAATTTAAACTTTCTTGGTTTATATACGAATTTCTCCGGTAATATCCATTCAGTCTGTAAATATTCTTTGTATCACATGTCTTTTCTTTCAGTGCGATACCTAGATAGATCATACTTTTTTGTACACCAAGTTTTTACAGAGATTAAATGAAAGCATAAAACTACGCAGAACAACAGCACTGCAGAGAGAAGGAAAACTTGACATAAACCCTTTTTTTTTTTTTAACGTGTGGAAATCCCCTCGGACCGTCACCCCTCCGGGGTTTGCGGCGGGGTGGTGTGTCGGACTCGGACCGACTAAAACCACACGGTGTGCCACTCTGCGCCTGTAACAGGAGGGATCCGGGAACAGCTGTTGTTAAGACATCCGGACCCCTCCTAGCGCCAGCCCGCTCCTGGTGCGGGCTCCGTCTCAATATATTTTCCTCTCTTTAGGCGACGTCCGGCACACGCGGACGCCGCCCCCTCGCGGCTGGCCAAACTAATGCGGGTGGAGGGGAAACCCACCCCGTCCACCCGCGGCCACACTCAGGGCGGCATGAGGCTGTGATAGGCGGGCCTCCGCCGCCCGGTTCGCCGGCGGCGGATCGGGTCCGAGTGGAGGTCATCCTCCCGGGCCCTCTCCGCCGCCTCCTTCCGCGAGATTACTACCTCGCAGAAGGTTGCGACCGCGGTAAAACAACTGTCGCTACCGGCCATGCTACTACGGCCGGTAGCGAGAGATCCACTCCGATGACTGCAGTGAGGGCCCGGCGCTGCGCCGCCCATGCGGGGCAGACCGCCAGCGTGTGCTGGGCCGAGTCCTCACTGCAGTCGCAGTGGTGGCAGGCGGGACTCAGTTCCCTCCTAGCGACCGAGCGCAGGGACTTTCCGAAGCAACCGTGCCCGGAAAGCACCTGCGTCAGCCGGAAGGAAAGGGTCCCGTGCTGCCGCCCTGCCCACTCGGCGATGACCGGCTGGAAATCCGCTCTCCGCCCGGGAGTCAGCCACTCGCCGATAAACTTCGGCGAGCACTTCCGCCTCCAAATCCCACGGGGGAGTTCCGGCCAACGCGCATGCCACCTCCGTCGAAACGGTGCGGTAACCGCGTATGGCTCTGACCGCCATTACCCTCTGAGGGCGCCAGAGGCGTACCCTATTCTGGGCGGTCAGAGCCGCCGCCCACACCGGTGCACCGTACAGTGCCATTGACCGGACAACCCCCGTGTACAGCCGTCTTGTCGCGACGCTGGTTCCACCCATATTGGGCAAAAGTCGCCCTAGGGCAGACGCAGCGCCGACCAGCTTTGGAGCAAGCTGTCGGAAGTGCTCGTCGAAGAGCCACCTCCCGTCGAGGATCAGGCCCAGATATTTCATCTGGGCCCGAACCGGTACGAGGACCGAGTTGACCACGATTGAGGTGCCAGGGGGTGGACCACGACGGGGCCCATGAAATAACAGGGCCTCCGTCTTATCTAGGGCCACCCGTAAGCCCAGCGCCTCAATGCGCCCGACCACCAGGGAGACTCCCCCTGTGGCCAGGCGCGCCGCCTCTTGGAAGTTTGCCCCCCGGGCTGTCACCAGATTGAGGTGCCAGGGGGTGGACCACGACGGGGCCCATGAAATAACAGGGCCTCCGTCTTATCTAGGGCCACCCGTAAGCCCAGCGCCTCAATGCGCCCGACCACCAGGGAGACTCCCCCTGTGGCCAGGCGCGCCGCCTCTTGGAAGTTTGCCCCCCGGGCTGTCACCAGGGTATCGTCTGCGTAACAGATTACACCCAGCCCGGGGGGGAAATCGGCGCGAAGGGCCCAGTCGTACCCTATGTATGGGCCGACTCCTCAAATTACCTTCTCGGTCCTCGTACACGACGGTACGCTCCTCTAAATAGTCTGCCACTAGCCGCCTCAGGTACTTTGGCACCCCATGATAGTGGAGTGCTTCCCTGATGCAGCTGAATGGCGGACTATTGAATGCGTTGGCGATGTCTAATGACACCGCCAACAGCACGCCGCCACAGCTCACGGCCTCTTCGGTCACGGCCCTCAGGCGCAACACGGCGTCGACTGTCGAACGCCCCGCCCGAAAACCAAATTGGGCGTCCGACAGATCGGGGCCCACCTCGCAGAGGTGCCGGACGATGCGGGCAGAAAGAACCCTCTTTAACAATTTGCCCGCCTCGTCCAGCAGCACGATGGGCCTATAGGCCGCGACCGAATCGGCAGGCCGTCCCGGCTTCCTCAATAGGACCAGCTTCCCGCTCTTCCAGCACTCAGGGAAGCGTCCCGACGCCAAGCTAGCGTCGAACACCTCCCCGAGGCGGTCTGCCATGTGGTTGAGGGCCAGGGCCAGCACTCGGGCCGGTACCCCGTCTGGCCCAGGGGCGGTGTTCTTGGAATGGATCCGTAGAACAGCCGCCCCTACCTCCGAATCCCGGACGGGCGGAACATTATCCTCCCCGTGCTCCCCGTCGTCTCCGGCCAAGGAGGCCATCGCCGGGGGAGTGTGTTCCGCTCGTTGTGGGAAAAGGCCCTCAACCACTTCTCGCAGGAAGCTGGGCTGGAGAGTCTCCGTAAGGGGGGGCCCGACGCGCGGAGCTTTTGTCGCACCGCGCGGTAAGGGTGACCCCAGGGGTCACGATTAAGACCCTCCAGCATCTCCTGTCTCTTTTCTTCTTTGGCGCGGCTAATGGCCAGCTTCAGAGTTTTCCGCGCCTGTCGGTACTCCTCATGAAGCCGGTCCTCCTCACCGTCTCCACGGTGACGCCGCCGACTGCGCGTGTAGGACCTCCGGGCACGTGTACAGGCCGCACGGAGGTCCGCCAGCTCCTGGGACCACCAGTAGACCTCCTTCCTTGGAGGCCGACGACCTCGAATGCGGGGCATGGCCGCATCGCATATATGCGTAATCGCATCGCGAAAGCGACCAGCCCCCACGTCGACCTCCTCGGTCGGAGCCTGAGGAGACAGCCACGAGTGAATTATGGCTGCCTCCTCTAGTAGGTCCCGGTTCAGTCTGGCAACAGCCCACCGCGGAAAGCGGGATAAACGCCGCGCCACGTGACCCCTACTGGAGTCCTGGGTCCGGGAGAGCTCAAATCGGATATAGAGATGATCCGAGAGCGTCTCAACCTCTTCCAGGACACGCCAGTCCCTTACTCGTGCGGCGAGGGCAGGGGTAGCGAACGAAAGGTCCACTATCGACCCCCCCTGCTGTCGCACGCACGTGTTGGTGGAGCCTCTGTTGAGAAGACAGAGGCCCACCGAGGCCGCCCACTCCTCTACGGCCTCGCCCCTTGCGTCCGTCCTGGGGGAACCCCACGCAATGGACTTTGCGTTGAAGTCCCCCAGCACAAGGACGTGCCCAGACGCTAGTCGCCGTATCGAGGTCTCCAAGCTGGTTAGGAAAACCTCGAAGTCGTTCAAACGTCGTCGAGTGGGGTGATCCCCCCCCACTCGACGGCAACATATCCAGGCTCATTCCCCGCCCTTGTCTCTTAGCGACAAGGGCGGGGAATGAGCCGTCGTGGAACCGACGACTGCCACGGAGCCGTCCCAGTCACCCATCCAGTTTGGACGGGGAGGGACAGAATAGGGCTCCGCGACTACGGCAACACCTATCGACCACTGTGCCATGGTTTGCAGGAAGAGATCCTGCGCCGCGGCACAGTGGTTCAGGTTCGTCTGGACCAGGAGGTTGGAGACTTGATCCATTACTGGATCGTCTCTACAACCTCCTCCATGGGCGACGGCCTCGACGCAATATTGACGTCGGGGGTAGCCTGGGTCGACTGGCTAGCCCCTGACGTCTGCCGAGAACTGCGGGGAGGCTTGCAGCCTCTCTGCCCCATCTGGTGATTGGCGGGCTTATTGCCCGCCGCACACGCTGGGCAGTGAGGGGCGGCAGAGCATTCTGCCGCCTTATGCCCCGGTTGACCGCAGCGGAAGCACAGTCCGCCGCAGTCGAAACAGCTGTCGCACTTGACGCGCGTGTGTCCCGATGCTAGGCATTTGTAGCACCTCATCGATCTCGCCGCCAGGACTGTGATCCTGGCGCTCACGAAACCGATGAGCAGCCTGCCGGCGTCGGCCAATACTTTGGCCGACGCTACGGGACAGCTGACCCACACGGCGCCAAGCCCTCCTGGACCGGGGCGGATGGTGCCGACCCTGACGTTGTCCGCGCTGCACCCCGTCTTCTCCCGGATTACAGCGCGGATATCTTCGGCCGTTACGGAGTCGTCCAGGCCCGAGATGCGCAACTCTGCGCACTTAGTAGGCCTGGCGATCTTTACACCATCCGTAGCTGTAAAGAGTCCCCGCAGCTTCTCGGCAAACGTGTCTGCCGTCTTAGCGCCTTCAGCCCCAGGGAACTCGAGTACTCGAGCTCCCGTCTGGGCGAGGCGCATCCTGACCCCCACCGTCCCAAAATCGGTGGCGAGGCTGTCCCGGGCCTTTTTGAAGACGGCCGCGTAGGACAGCCCGC